GGCCGGAGGCCTGTGCAAGCAGCAGGCCCGGCTTGTGCTCCCCTCCCTGCCAGGCAAGGAGAAGCTGTGCTTTGTGTTCTTGGCTGTTGTGCTGAGAAAGGAGTTGATTGCAAGTAAAGAGAAGCGAAGAGGTGCAGTCAGAGGCCACCAGCACCTTGCTGTCTACCTAGAGACGGCTTTGCTCACAGCCACAGGGGAGAGTTGAGGCTAGGAGCCTGTATCCAGGTGGACAGCAGAGAGGAGAGGCCCCTTGAAGCTACCTGGTCAAGAACTCCTGGTGGGCTTCCCTGTTTTTGCCCTTCCTCTGGACTGATGGGTTTGAGTATGGGTGTGGAGGTGAATGTGGGAGAAGGGGGGACAGAGATCATGAATAGCTCAGGGCTGTGAATGGAGCCCCAAGAGCTGGGCAGTGGGAGGTGTGGACCAGGATTGCTGCAGGCCCCTCCACCTCAGGCTGGAAGGATGCGGGGAGTGGGGGACATCAGCTCTGCCCCTTCTCCCTAGCTGTACTTGAGGAGACTAGGCTCCCTACTTCCTCATAACAGCAAGTCTGAGAAAACCTGGAGGGTGGAGTCACCCAGTCACTGGCAGAGTCTGAGATAAGCATCTAATAATGATCCCCCAAGCCTGAAAAAAAAATAATTGGAAACAAATCCCATTCGACCCAGCAATTCCACTACTGGGAATATACCCCAAAGAAACCGTAACTGCCACCCAAGCAGATATATGTACATCCATGTTTATTGCTGCTTTGTTCACAATAGCAAGGAGTTGGAAATAACCCAAGTGTCCATCAACAAATGAGTGGATAGAGAAGCTGTGGAGTATCATGCAGCACTGAAAAATAAAGAACTTATGAAATATTATACAACATGGGTGACCCTGGAGGACATTATGCTGAATGAAATATCTCAGTCACAAAAAGACAAATATTGCATAATACCATTGTTATAAAACAGGACTGAAATTGGGATTGGGGGAAACTAAGAAAAGAGGGGATAAATAATGTATACAGCATTGAAACAGACAAGAGAGAGAACTGTATAAAAGAAATATTAGGTATTTTTCGCATGACGAGAATTCAGAATAAGAGCTGCATAGTAAAGTGGTCTGGGAGGAGGGCGGGGTTGTGGAGGCTGTATTAACAATGAAAGAATTTTTTTTTCCAAAGGGAAAAAAGCAAACTGGAAAGGAGCTCTGATGGCCTAGTGGCAAGAAGCTGCACAGTAATCCCAGAGGTATGTGGTTCGAATCCACCAGATGCTCTGCTGGAGAAGGAGGGGCAATCTGCTCCTGTACCAGTCAGATCTGATTGATGGTACACACACACACAAAATTAAAAAAAAATACGCAGTTCAAATCCACCAGATGCTCTGCTGCAGAAGGAGGGGGCAATCTCCTCCTGTACCAGTCAGATCTGATTTGACGGTACACGTAAAAATAATACAATAAAAAAAAATTAAAAAAAGAAAAAAACAAACTGGAGGGGGGGCAGGAAGGAAAATGTGCAACAATGAATGAATGGAAATCTAAGTTCTTTATAAACGTTCATGAAAACCAATTAAAAATTATAATTTCCCCCCCCCCTTTGAATTAGCACTTACTCAAACTGGGGATAAGTGGCTTGCATTACATAACAACATTAAGCCTGGGTACATTTTTTAATTCACTACCATTAATGGGAGCTCTAATGGTCTAGTGGCAAGAAGCTGTGCTGCAGTCCCAAAGGCTCAGGGTTCAAGTCCACCAGCTGCTTCACATAACAAGGAAATCTCCACCTGTGTGACTGCCTCTGAAAACCCATCAGGGGTCAGCTATGAGTTGGTTTTAATTCTGTGGTACACAACAACCATTGATAGCTAACATTTCCTAACAGTGTGAGAGCAAGCACTGGAGACTAGCAGGGATCTGAGTATGTCTGTCAGCACAATGTAACCTCCAGAAGCAGAGAACTGGCTTGTGCATTTTAACATTACAGAGAGCTGAGACATCCTAAATTTTAGTAAGAGTTTAAGAAAATATATTACCATTGGTATAAAAAACAGGGCTTAGTAAATCTAATGCCAAGAAGTTGTGCTGCAATCCTAAAAAGGCATGTGGTTCAAAATCTACCAGTTGCTCTGTGGGAGGATGGGCAATCTCCTGTGTGATTAACTGCCTCTGAAAACCTGAGGGAGGGTCAGTTATGGGTTAGTTCTGGTACACAAAACAAACAAACATCCCCCCAAATTAGTTAGGTTTAGTGGTTCAGTGGCAAAAAGCTGTGCTGTAATCCCAAAGGCATGTGATTCAAATCCATCAGATGCTCTGCTAGAGGAGGGGCAAATTCCTTCTGTGCCAGTCGATCTGATTAGACAGAACACAACAAGAAAAAAAAAAACAAACCAACGAACCACAAACAAAAAACCCCCACAAAAGCTCAAATGTAAATCTAGTAGTATATTGACAAGGAATGACAGAAATTCAAGCCAGATTCTTAAGAGGCTGTTTAGCATGAGGGACATCACTGCTGATGTCACATGGGTCTTGACGGAACAGAGTACTTGTGTTATTGACTATGCAAAGGCATTTGACTGTGTGGATCACAACAAATCATGGATAATATTGAGAAGAATGAGAATTCCAGAACACTTAAGGGGCTCATGTGAAACCAAGAACTTCTTCTCATTTATAGACCAAGAAACAGTTGTCTGAACAGAATGGAACACAGCATGGTTTAAAATCAGGAAAGATTTGCATCCAAATTGTACCTTCCTCCTTATTTATTTAATCTCTATATTGTATAAATAATTCCAGAAGCTAGACTATATATGTAGAATGTGGCATCAGAATCAGAGAAAGGCTCAACAAGCTGAAATGTGACACACCTTCGTTGTATAAACTGAACATGACTTACTGAAGACCAAATATTACAACCTTCCAATATGGGTTACATCTCAACATCAAGAAAACAAAAATTCTCACCAGTGGACCCGTAGGCAAAATCATGCTAGAGGGAGAAAAGTCTGAAGTTACCAATGATTTCCTCTTACTTAGATCTACAATCAACATCCATGGTAGCAGCTGCCAAGATGTACTAACTGGGAAAATCTGTTGTCAAAGACCTCTCCAAAGTGCTAAAGAGCAATAATGTCAGTTTACAGACTAAGATGTGCCTAATTCAAGTCATGCATGACCTTTCAATCACTTTCTACACATCTGAAATTTGGCCAACAGTACTGGGTATGAACTGCCAAGAGAAAAGTCATCTGTATCGGAAGAAGTGCAACCAGGTTGCTCCTTAGAGGCAAGAGAAAATTTATCTCACACTCTAGGAATGTAGTCAGGAGGCCAGTTCTCAGGAAAAGATAACATGCTGGGAAAGATGAGATGGTCAGAGAAAGAGAGTAAGACCTTTAACAAGATGAACTGACACAGTGCTGCAACAACAGGCTTGAGCATGAAAGAGATTTTCTCGCCTCTTGGCTCTGATTCCCCTTAAGCATTGTCTAGACCACCAGCCCATCCCACGCTCCTCATTCTTGCTCCAGCCCAGTTATCTTATTCATTTTCTGTTTCTCTAGTGGCATTTGCTGACAGTCATAATCTCCAGGTTCAAAAGGATCTATCTTGACTGAGAAAATAAAGCCAAACACAGAGGTGCCAAGAACTTTCAGTCTGGCTGGTGACAGCAATGAGCATTTATGCAGTGTTTCCCAGAGCACCTTCACAGATACCGCATTTCATTATGAAACAGCCTGGTGGGAGGTTGGATATGTTCGACAAATTCTCATTTTTGAGAGGAAGACATTTAGACTCAGAGCCAGGAGCATCAGTTAAGATCCAGCTTAGCACCATAGAGTCCACCCTCTGTTTCTTGATGACAAGGCTGTGAGCACAGCCTCTAGAGCCCATAGAGGACAGAGGGGTCGCTGGGGTAGTGCTTGTGCTGTGTGCCAAGAGGCAAACACCTGCCCACATGAACAGTCTTTAAAAACCACTTACAGCACAAATATTTATTTCATGTCCCCATTTTATACTAAATCATTAATACAGGTCACAAATTGCATTTATTTGCAGACATCTAAAAACAACTGAAAGTGTATATATCTCTCCATATAAATCTTATTAATAAATTTTATTTGGACAAGTAAGAGAACTTGTGCCCCAACAGTTTTAAACAGCATGATTAAAGACTGTAGCATTCCCAAGAGTGGTCAGATATGTACAGTATGTGTGAAGAAAGAGCTGCACCTCAGAGCTGATCATGATCAAGTTAAAATACCTGGCATACAGGATTCGTGCTAGTAGATTTCCTTCAGGCCATGACCAGCATGAGAAAAAAGAAAAAGAAATCAGGACATAGATAGTTCTGTAAATGTGTACAGCAATATGCTGCATTTAAGAGAATTAAAAAAAAATCAGATTCTACTTTAGTGTTACCATCAAGCCCTTAGGAGAAATAAAAAAAATTCTCCTTTTCCCATTTACACACATCAAAAACTATTCACACGTAGGGCTGGGCTGGGCTGGGCACAGGCCACAGACCCAAACAGGTCCTTGCCCAAGTGAAGCATCAAAGCATCAGAACAACACTGCAGGTCTTGCACGTCCTGGCTTTCCTCAGCCTTCTGGCCTCCAACTATGTATGGTTCATCAGATTGAGTCAGGAAAAGTAATGCCAGTCGCCGGGATCTCGTCCCTTCCATAACGAAAAAGGCTCTGCCAATTCAAGTTTCAGTCAGTCAGGAAGACAGAAGGATTTAAGGCTTCAGTGACAATTATAATCCTCTGAGAAATTATTTTCCCTAAAGTCAAGATGAGATAATAGTGTTTGCTGTACTTTTTCTTGACTTAAAAGTCCCTGGTATCATGTTTAGGTGACTTTCACCTGCAATAAAGTCTGGCAAGAGAGGAAGGTCTTTCCTCTTTCATAAAAGGTTGGATAGTTCCTACGCATGAGAGTCATGTGTAAAACCCTAGCTTCTAGTAAGCAGGAATGACACTGAGATTCAAGCTTTCTAGTAGGTAGAAGAAGCTGTGCTCATGGCATCTTCAGCAATTCTGGTTCCAGCTGGGTGAATGCTTGCAAAGTATTTCACATCACTGTCACGGTCCATCTGAAGAGCCATAATTGTTTGCTCTACAGCTTCCTGATGACAACTCGCAGAGGTTAAGAAATAATCTGGAAATGAGAAGAACAGATAATAAAATTAGTTTAACATTTAACAGTTTTATCAAAGATTAAAATTTTTCAGTCAGAAAAAACACAATTTGTCTGCAGGTTATCAATAAGCTTTCATATTTTTTAAAAAAGCTTTCTTGAAAGATAAGTTTTTCATTATATAAACAAATTTGTATTAATAAAAAAATCCCTTTGTATGTTTTTAAATCTTAATTACATCTATGGTACACTAAATCTCATATGATTTTCAAAGGCAGCTAGTTAAAAACAATCAAATCCACTGCTGTTGAGGTGGAGACAACTCTTAGCTGACCCGACACATTTTCAGAGGTTATGAATCAATCTCATTGGAGGAGTCTGTCCATCTTTCTCTTGTGGAACAGCTAGAGGATCGGAACTGACTGCCTTTAGGATAGCAGAGCTCCCTCTAAGACTGCTAAGCAGTATTAATAACCTCCATGTCTATTACCCATATTAGAAGGGAACTCTGGTGTATTAGTGGTAAAGGGATTGTGCGGCCAACCCAAAGGCATGTGTGGTTCAAATCTACAAGCTGCTCCATGGGAAAAGGATGGGCAATCTCCTCCCATGTAATTAACTGAACCCTGAAAACTCACCAAAGTGTCAGTGGTGGTTCATTTCCGACTCATTCGTACACAACAACAATAATAAATAAAATTACCAGAACTGTGAGGTCATAACATAGCAAAGCAAACAACACGGAGCATTTGTGTTCTGCTTAACAAATGGAAGGATCCTTGGCGTCCTAAGTGGTTAAGCACTAAACCACTAACTGGAAGAATGGCAGTAATAAGCAGCAGCCACCCACCAAGGGAAAAGATGAGGCCGTGTACTTCCACAGGGTTTGGAAAGCCCGTGAGGCAGTTTGCCCTGTCCTGTGGTGTCATCATAAGTAGAAACATGGAGCCTTTCCTAGAACCCGTGGCACAGACTCACACCTGCAGGTCTCTTCCAATGGTCATGATTTTGCCGTTAGAAGAGCCAACCATTTTAAGCTGCTAAGCTTCAAGTTATGAAAATGATTATGGTAGAAAAATTATTTTCAATTAGAATAGAAAAAAAAAAGTCTATTCCTATTCTCTATCCTTTGTCTCTGTCCTATCAGAGAGAACCACTCTTAACTTAAAATATACCCCTCAACCAAATAATTTTCACTCAACATGCACTACTTCTTTGATATTTATCTATTCAATACAATCTATGAATTTCCCTCCAGCCCCTGTATTTTCAAATAGAACCACTGTCCCACCTTTTTCTAACAGACTTTGTCTCAGTGTTTTTGCAAGGAGCACTCTGACATTTGGAACCCTGTCATTTGCTAAGGTGAGCAGGTGTGGCATTAGATGCACAGCAAACTGGTCCATGGGAAGACAATCATCTTCAATGACAGTCTGAAGAAAAGAAAAACTGGTTTAGATTTCTTTGTAAATCTAATCTACTAGGTAACAATTTTAACAACTTAAGAGTTACAAATTACAGCTATTGCTTTTAAATAATTACTTCAGGTTCTGTGTAACTAAAAACGAAAATGATATAATTAGCTTCCCTCTTTGGGTGTATGAGACTGAGCACACTATAATGGAGGCCTGACATTTTCATAGTAAAGCTTTCATTTTCATACTAGCAGTATAGGCTATAGACTAAGCTCCCTCTAGTGGACGGTTACCATATGTTTGACAAAGAACTCAGATGACCAAGAGGGAAAAAGGGGCAAAGGTCAAGAAAAGAAAACAGGTATCTGACTTGGAAGTTGGCAGAGATGGGTGCCATCAAGAGTAACACCTCGAGAGGGTAACACTTGGAGCAACCATGTCCGATCCTGTGGTAAATTCAAAATCTCTGACCCACTGAGGAACCCTGCTGCAGTCACTGTGTCAACCTACCTGCTTGCAGGGCTTACTCTCTTTTGCCCCATTTCTCCAAGCATAATGTGCATTTCCAAGGAATAGTCTCTCCTAACATGCCGAAAGTATGCGAAATGAAGCTTTATCAGTTTGTCTCTAAGGAGCACTCTGGCTGTACCTTATCCAAGATCTATGTTTATTCTTTTGGCAGTTTACAGGATATTCAGTAGTCTCCAAACCACGGTTCAAAGGTATCAATTATTTTTCTGTCATCCTTTTCACTGCCCAGCTCTCAGATGCATATCAAGTGATTGGCCTGAATCAAGCACACACCTTAGTCCTCAAACTGACATCTATGCTCCCCAGTAATTTGGACAGGTTCGTGACTGCAGACTTTTCCAGTGCAGCGTATCTCTTGACTGCTGGTACCAAGGGAGTTGATTATGAATTCAAATGAAGTCCCTTGACAGTTTGTTTCAATCTTTTCTCCTCTATCATGTTACCAGTAGTGTTGTAGTAATCAGAATTTTTGTTTTCTTAATGTTGAGATGCAATCCATGTTGAAAGCTATAGTCTTGGATGCTCTGCAGCAAGCACTTCAAGTCCTCCTTATTTCCAGTAAGCAAGACTGTGTCATGTGCATGATGCAGGTTATTGATTAGCCTTCTTCCAATCCTGACACTACATTCTTATTCACAGAGTCCAGCTTCTCAAATAATCTGCTCAGCATACAGATTAAATAGTTATGGAGAGAGGATACAATCCTGATGCACAACTTTATTAATTTTAAATCATGTACTATTCCCTTGCTCTTTTCCCAAAACAGCCTCTTGGTCTATGTAAAGGTTTTGCATGAGTACAATTATGTGTTCTGGGATTCCCATTCTCCTCAAAGTTTGCCATAATTTGTTATGATCCACAGAGTTTAACACTTTTGCACAGTTAATAAATCAAAACCAGACATCCTTCCAGTATTCTTTGCTTTCAGCCAGGGTCCAAATGACATCAGAATGATATCCCTGGTGCCACAGTCTCTTCTAAATCCAGCTTGAACTTCTGGCAGTTCTCTTATGTACTGTTCTAGACATTTTTTTAATACTTTCAGGAATATTTCGCTTGCACTGTTTGAGAATTTTGTTGCATTACCTTTCTTGGGAACGGGAGCAAATAGAGAACTCTTCTAGTCAATAGGTCCAATGTGTCCTCTAAATTTCCTGGCATAGACTGGTGAGTGCACTCAAAGCTGTACCTGCCAATTTAAACATGTCAACTGGTATCCCACTGATTCCCAGAGTCTTATTTTTAGTCAGTGTGTTCAGGCAGCTTCACCTTCCTTCATTACCACTCGCTCTTGATCATATTGTACTTCCTAAAATATTTCAGTCTCTGCTAATTCTTTTTGGTACTGTTTTTCTGTGGATTCCCTCCATCTTCTTCTTTTGATGCTTGCTGGATCAGTCAAGGTTTTGCCCTCAGCATCTTTAAGTACTGCAACTCAAGGCTTTTGTTTGTTCTTCAGTAATTTCTGCTTGATATGCGTAGAGTTCTTCTCTTTTTGTTTTCCAATTCCAATTCTGTGCACATTATAATACTTTGTTTTGTCTTGTAGACCTGCACTTTGAAATCCAGCATCTTTTCCCTTTGTTTTGACTTCTCAACACACTAAGTGCAATTTTCATAGTCTATTCTGATATCCATCTTGGTTCCGTTTGTTCTTTTTTTTTTAAGGTAACATGTTTATTTTTTTAAAGTTTATTTATTTGTGTGTGTATCATCAAATCGGATCTGACTGGTACAGGAGACTGCTCCTCCTTCAGCAGAGCATCTGGTGGATTTGAACCGTGTGTACCTCTGACTTCACAGAGCAACTTCTTGCCACTAAACCACCAGAGCTCCCTTTTCCTCAGTCTTTGTAGTGACTTTCTGCTCTCTTCAATCACTAGTATTCAATGCTTCAAACCCAGTCCTAGGATGATTTTAAAATTCAGGAGGGATAGACTCCAAGATCACATTTTTGGTTCTTGTGGACTTGTTATAATTTTCTTTGGCTTCAATTTGAACTTGCACATGGTCTGGTCAATAGTCAACTTATAACTGCTGATATTGACCTTTTCCAACAATTCCTTGCACAGATGTAGCCAATTTGATTCTTATCCATCAAGTGAGGTCTATGTGTAAAGGTGCTGTTTGTGGGGTTTTAAAAAAAAATTTAAATTATTATTAATTTTAATAAAAATTTACAGAGACTTTGGATTTCCATTCATTCACTGTTACACTTTCCTCCCTGCCTACCCCCTCTCCCTCAATTCACTCTTCTCCTTGAAAAGTAAAAGTCTTTCATTTTTATACAATCCCTCCAAGTCCACTCCACTATGTAGCTTTCATTCTGGACTCCTGTCACAGCAATAATATCTAATCACCTATCCCTTTTAAACAGTTCTCTCCCTCATCTGTTTTAATGCAGTATACATTATTTATCCCATCTTTCTCCATCTCCTCCCAAATCCAAGTGTCAATCCTGTTTTAAAACAGTGGCACTATGCAGTATTTGTCCTTTTGTGATGGAGATATTTCACTCAGCATAATGTCCTCCAGGGTCACCTATTTAGTATAATATTTCATGAGTTCCTTGTTTTTCAATGCAGCATAGTGTTCCATTGTGTGACTATACCACAGCTTCTCTATCCATTCATTTGTTGATGAGCACTTGTTTCCAACTCTTTGCTATTGTGAACAAAGCCACAATAAACATGGGTGTGCATATATCTGCTTGGATGGCAATTATAGTCTCTTTGGGGTATATTCCCAGTAGTGGAATTGCTGGGTCAAATGGTATCTCTATTTGAGAAAGTGCCATGCTGCCATCCATAGTGGTTGCAGTGTATTTTGGTTCTTTAAAAAATATATTTGCTCTGAATAAAACACTGGATGTACAAAATTTGATCATTGTTTTTCTGGCCTTATTTCTGTCATTAAGTCTGTACTTTCGGACTACCATTTCTTCCTTATTGTTTCCATCTTTTGCATTCCAGTCATCAACAATTATGAATGCATCTTCGTTGACTTGACTGGTCAATTTTGTACTGCAAAACTTGGTACATATCTAATTTTCTCCTCTTTGGCTTTAGCTATTGGTGCTTATATGTAATAGTGGTATTAACAGGTCTTCCTTGTATGCATATGAATAGTATTATATCACTCACAACATTGTACTTCAGGACAGAACTTGAAATTGTTCTTTTAACTATGAATTCAATATCATCCTATTCTGTTTTTCCAACTTTGAAGGAATACTCAAAAAAGCCCAAGTCAGTTGCAACTCACAGCCCTTTCAGATGGAGAATTGCCCCACAGAGTTTCCAAGGCTGTGAGTGTACAGGGAGGTAGATCACACACCTTCCTTTTAGTAGACTGGCTGGGGGTCAGAGCTGTTGACCTTGCAGGTAACAGTCCAGGGCTCATTTAGAAAGAGGTGACTCTATAAAAGTGCAAAGGTTTTATTCCTTTAGGATAACAAAGAGAGAGTGAGAGACAGGCAGGAAGTGAAAGGAAAAAATGGTTCTGGGGGGAAAACTGGTCATCAATTCCTTGCTTACCTGGCAGACAAAGACAAAGGCTTGCCGACCAGACCATTTAGGACATCGTCCAAAATTTTCTACTAGCTCGTTTATGAGATCAACTCCAAATGTTGGGGGTGTTACCATGTAGAGTTTCTTTACCATCTCACTAACCTAGAAGTAATAAAAATAGGAGAAATGAGAAACATTTTCCTTTCTATGATATGAAAAATTTTCTATTACAAAATTTGAAAAGTTTAACACATACCAGCTTGTAGGAAATCCAGCGCACAGAAGAGACTTTATCTGCACAGAGATTGAGAGCAATGGGACGTAAGTAGTCATATACGTCTCTGGGGCTGTACAAGTCCAGCAGTAAAGTGAGCTGTCTACAAAAACAATTACAAAGGTAAACTTATATGTGTCAAACAACCAGATCTCTTATGCACAGAATTAATGCTCGTCTTGATTAATTTGGAAATGCTATTTAAATACTATGCAAATCCAAAGAGTATCTTTCCCTTAGAATGTGAGTACCACATGGTTGGCTTCGGTGACCAAAAAGATGGTGGCAGGGCAAGCATTATCTGTGTCAAGCCATTGTGAAGATGGTCTTCCTCTTTTTTGGTGACTCCCTGATTTACCAGGTATGATATTCTTCTCTAGGGACTGCTCCCTCCTGGTAACATACCCAAAGAATAAAAATCTCATCATCCTGGTTTACTTCTTGAAGACATATTTATATGTTCTTTGGGCAGTCCATGATATATTCAATATTCTTCACCAACAACATAATTCAAATGCTAATGTCCAAATTTTATATCTATGAGGTAAAGGAATATATTACAGCTTAGATCAGGCACATATTATTCTCCAAAGTGACAACCTTGCTCTTCAGCACTCTAAAAAAGGTACATGGGAGTAGATCTGTCCAATGCAGTTATGTCTTCTGATTTCTCTTCTCTTCTTTTTTTTAATTTTTGTGTGAGTGTACCGTCAAATCAGATCTGACTGGTACAGGAGGAGATTGTCCCTCCTTTCCCGGCAGAGCATCTGGTGGATTCGAACCGTGAGCCTCTGGGATTGTAGTTGCAGCTCCTTGCCACTAGGCCACCAGAGCCCCCCCTGATTTCCCAAGTGCTGTGTCCATGGCTGTTTATTGGAGATCCATGTAAAAATTTACAATGTCAATCTTTTCTCCATCTATGATGTTGCTTACTGGCCCAACTGTGTACATTTTGCTTTCTTTGGGTTGGGAAATACTCCATAGTCAAGGCTATAGTCTCTGATCTTTATCAGTAAGTAAGTGTCTTAAGTCGTCTTCGTTTTCAGCAAGCAAGGACTCTACATTTTTTATTTTGGCTCTTGTGTACTTTAAAAATAAATTTCTTTAGCTTCAACTTGCATATAAGCAAGTAATGGTCTGTACCACAGCCTAGTTTTGTTCTGCTGATGTTCTCTATCATCTCTACAGATGTAGATTTGATTCCTGTGTATTCTACTTGGTGAGAATGCATACAGTCACCATTTATGCTGCTTAAAGAAGGTATTCACAATGACTAAGCTGTTAATCCTATCAAATTATATCATGTATATACAAGGTCATATTTTCCAACTATCAATTATTTTTGTTTCCAACTTCTGAATTCCAGCTGCCAGTAACTACCAATATCCTGACTGTATCTTTAATTTCAGACTGCAAAGGGTAGAAATTCTTAATGTTTTTAACTTTAGCTTTCGTGGTTGGTTAATAATTAGAACAATATTCTGGTATAAAAAGATCGTCCTTGTATATATATATGGATTTTATCCTATCACTGACAGAACTCTACTTCAGGAAGTTCTTCTGGATTATGAACATGACACCACTCCATTTCAGTCTGCCACTCCTGGAACAGAATGCCATATGATTGGTCCATTACAGAAAAGATTGCTGTAGAAAATTTCACTTGAATTTAATTTTCTTTGGATCCACACTCAACATCCATGGTAGCAGTGATCAAAAGATCACAAAGTGTGGGGGAAACTGGCTGTCAAAGATTTCTCCAAAATGCTCAAGAACAAGGATGTCAAGAACAAGCCTTCAAAGAGTAGATGTGCCTGATCCAAGCCATGCTCTTTTCACATACTTCTCAAACATCTGAAAGCTTGATAATGAGCAATGATGACAGAGAAATAGATGTCACTGAGCTATGGTGTTGGAGAAGAGTGCTGCATATGCCATATACTGTCAAAATAACAAACCAGTTTATCTTGAAGTTAGTGCAACCAGGGTGCTCTTACAGGCAAGGATGGTGAAACTGTCTCATATAAAGAGAAGTAGAGCCTTGACAAGACAGAGGGACATGTGACTGTAACAACGGGCCCCAGCGTGTTGGAGAAGTGAGCATACTCCATACAGAGCAAGGTTCCGTTTGTCCATATGGCTGCTATGAGTGTAGCTGATTCAATGGCACCTAACAAAAAACAATGTCCAAAATAATGATTTTAACGCACTCAATTTTTTATGACTTCTAATTTTCCTAGGTTTATATCTGGTATAGTATTCTATAGCAATTGGGTACAAGACACTGTAGAATTGTGATATGAAAAAGATTTCTTAATAGAATTTAGGTATATGATTATTTAGACTTCCTTATTCAGCAAGCTCTGGTGGCCCAGTCTGTTGGGAGTTGCACTGCTAACTCAAAAGGCCCAGCCTCACTGGCAGTGTGACTGCAGCAATAGTAACAAGGGAGAAAGATGCGCTCTCTCCTCCTGTATGATTTATTGTCCTGGAAACCCAAGGGATGATTAGCTAGGAGTTGGTTGCAACTCCATGACAAGGAGTTTGTATTGTTTTTTATTTTTAAAAAAAATCTGCAAGAGGTAAAAAAAATAAATATAGAACTTAAAAAAAAATGACAAATGTTATTTTCTGACAAAAAAGTTCAAAACAAAACTCCCCCACAGGACTTCATCTTTTGTTTGGGATGAAGAAAGCATTAAAGAATGGTGTCCCAACATTAACCATGAATAAAAGCTGGATAACCACAAAATATTTTTTTGAGCTCACTAGAGAGATGAGGTTACAAAGCATCCAGAGAACTTAATTTCTCCTCCAAGGAAACATGGGTCACATGACCAACCCATGTGCAGAAGAGACACTTGCCACCACATGGGAAGACAAGGAGAAATGAGCTAAGGACCATGCAGGGGCGATTATGTCATCTGGAACAGCTGGAACTTATACTAACTGGCAAAGCTCTTTCCCACTGACTTGAACTGGGTATCAAAACAAAGACTGGCATTTTCCCCAGTACACAAAATAGCTCTTCTCTCACTGTCTCTCAGGACAATGTTTTAAGCTGCTGGTGAGGGGCAGTAAAGCTGTCATCCCATGGACATAAACTGTGTTGGGGGAAGAGTAGAGGGGGAAAGAGAAGGTTCATTTTCAGGAAGGGTGGACTGGAAATGTTCTTGAGCTAAGATTATAAACAACATTACATTTACTACTGCAAGAAGCATGGCATAAAATCCTTGTCCAAGACTAATCGCAGATACAAGGCACAGAGTGGATGCCACAGAGAATGGACAGCAAAGTATTAAACATAGAATTATCCCATGACTCAGCAAGTCCATCCCAAGAGAACTGAAAACAGGACTCAAACTGATATATACATGTGTTCCTGTGTTACAGAATCATTATTCCAACAGCCAAAAGGCAGAAACATACATTAGTATCTATAGAATAAAGATACATGCTGTAACCACAGAATGGAATATTCTTCAGCAGTAAGAAAGAATGGAGTATGGATGCATGCTATAACATGTCTGAATTGAAAAAACAAACAAACAAACAAACAAACTAAACGAAAGTCTATCTCTCACATTGCTGAGTTAGAACTGGCTCAGCTGATCCTTCAGCAAGTTTTTGGAGGCTGTAAATTGCATGGCAGGAAACTGTCCATCTTTCTCCCATCCTGATTATCCCAGTCACTGAATCAATCCACCTCATAGAGGGCCTTCCCCTCCTGCGCTATCCCTCCACTCTACCCAGCATGATGTCCTTCTCCAAGGACTGGTCTCTCCTCACAACATGTCCAAAGTATGTTAGACAGAGTCTCAGAATCCTTTCCTCCAAGGAGCCACCCGGTTTAATCCTTTCCAGGATGAATCTCTTTTTTTTCCTAGCAGTCCATGGTATTCTCAATACTCTTCTCCAGCACCACAGCTCAAAGGCATCAATTCTCCTTCTATCCTCCTTGGTCACTGTCCAACTCTCTGATGCATAACAAGTGATTGTGAAGACCATGGCCTGTTTCAAACACACCTTAGTCTCCAGGGAGACACCACTGGTCTTCAGTACTCTGGAGAGGTCCCTAACAGCAGACTTTCCCATGGCAATGCGCCTTTTAATTTCCTGGCTACTGGTGCCAAGAGTGTTGACTGTGGAGCCAAGCAAACTAAAGCTGTGAACAATCTCAATCTCTTCACCATCCATCCTGATGCTGCCAATTGGCCCAGTGGTGAGAAATTTTGTCTTCTTGACATTGAGCCTCAATTGATATTGCAGGCTGCAGTCCTTGATCCTCTGGAGCAGATGCTTCAGGTCCTTTTCAGTTTCAGCAAGCAGGGTTGTGTCATCTGCATAACGCAGATTGTTGATAAATCGTCCCCCAATCTTGACCCCACATTTCTCCTCATACAGCCCAGCCTCCCGGATAATCTGTTCTGCATATAGGTTTAAAAGGTATGGAGACAGAATGCATCCCTGGTGTACGCCCTTCCCAATTTTGAACCATGCAGTATTCCCTTGCTCTGTTCTGACGACTGCCTCCTGGTCCAAGTATAGGTTTCACATTAGCACGATCAAATGTTCTGGGATTCCCATTCTTCTCAGAGTCAGCCACAGTTTGTTATGATCCACACAGTCAAATGCCTTTGCATAGTCAATGAAACACAGATAGACATTCCTCTGGTATTCCCTGCTTTCAGCCAAGATCCATCTAACATCAGCTACAATCTCTAGTACCATGACCCCTTCTAAGCCCAGCCTGGACTTCTTGTAGTTCTCTGTTGATGTGCTGTTCCAGTCGTTTTTGGATGATCTTCAGTAAAATCTTGCTTGCATGTGAAATCAGTGAGATTGTTCTGTAGTTTCCACATTCTGTTGGGTCACCTTTCTTTGGGATAGGAACAAATATAGATCTCTTCCAGTCAGTTGGCCAAGTGGTTGTTCTCCAGATTTCTTGGCACAACTTGGTGAGCATATCCAGGGCAGCATCTGTTAGCTGAAATATATGTCAATTGGTATACCATCTATTCCTGGAGCCTTATTTTTTGCCATGTCCTTCAAAGCAGCCTGAACTTCTTCTTTCATCACCATAGGCTCTTGCTCATACGTTGTTTCATGAAATTCTTGTGTCTTCCAATTCCTTTCGGTACAGTGACTCAGTACATTCTTTCCATCTTCTTTTAATACTTCCCGGATCATTTCACGTTCTGCCAAAAGCATCTTTGATTATAGCAACTCGAGGTTTGAATTTGTTCTTCAGTTCCTTGAGCTTAAGATATGCTGAGTGAGTTCGGCCCTTTTGATTTTCTTACTCCAACTCCTTGCACATTTCATTGTAATATTTTGCTTTGTCATCCCGTGCTGCCTTTTGAAATCTTCTATTCAACTCTTTAGTATCTTGAATTCTTCCTTGTGCTTTGGCTTCTCTGCACTCCAGTGCAATTTTCAGAGTCTCTTCTGACATCCATTTATGTTATGTACATTTTATCACAATAACAAAAATGAAAATAAGGGGGAAAAGGTATGAAATGTCATTGCAAGCAGGTCAGTTTTACAAGGAAAAGTTACTAAAAAACAAAGCTGGATGTACAGAGAAATCTGAAAAACAAAAAAAACAATGAACTCTTCTAAACCATAAAGCGTTAGAACTTACTCAGCCAGTTCAGCTCGAAAGCGCCAATTTCTGCTATTATCAGTCACCAAGAACTCCTGAAGTTGATAAAGATATTCTCTTCTTTTGTCAATATGAAGAAGCTGAAGTAATGAAATAGAAAATATTTACCACAGTAAGAACTAAACTTCTTATAAATGGACTAAAAGTAATACTGTTATTTTGGCTATCTGTATCTAACCATTTAAAAAATTGCTTTAAATGCACTTATCCCTGAGTTACTCTTACTCACTCTTAAGAATAATCTTCCTCTTCGTCGGAGATTTTTTTTTCTTTTAATCCTGTCAGTGACCCTTACTGAATACTACAGCACCTTGGGAATAGCTTTACTATAGTATTCACCCACTTTATTCTCTCTTTAAAAAATCTTTTGATTTTGAGTGAAATTTTACAGATCAATCTGGGTTTTCCATTCACAGTTCACACGCACTGTTTCAGGACATTAACTGCAACCCTCAGGATACAAGTGTTCCTCACACTCCCTTGCTTCACCCCATCACCCCCCTTCTTTCTTATCCTTTTTGTCTTTTGAGCTTTATCCTTGGGCAAAACATTGTTTTATGAATTCTTATGGTGGACTGTTACTTTATCCTTAAGATGTGCTTTTTATAGAGAATTCTGTCTTCAAAACCAAATTATTTTGCTACATCCTACACAGCTAACTCCACTCTCATCCAACAATTTTTGGACACAATGATCAGAAGCACGGGCTCATTCTATATGTCAATAGTCTTGTTTCATTTCTGTTACTCAAATTCCCTGTATTTTTTCTCATTTATACTCCAAAATAGTTATTGATCATTTGGTTTTCAACATACTCAACTCATTACTACTCAGTTGGAACTGACTGACAGCTGACCTTACAGTGAGTTTTCAAAGGTTGTAAATGGCACAGGAGACTGCCCACTACTTCCCCCAACAGTAGTTGGTGGGTTTAAACCATATCCTTTTGGGTTACAGCACAACTCCTAGATCAACAGAGCTCCCTTAACTGGTCTTATATAATAAGTAACTAAAACAAACCCCCTGAAGTCCTCCAGGGTGATAATCTTTATTCTTGGGCTAATCTGTTGCTTGCAGTTGATTTCTAGGGGGCAATTTCCATTCAAGGTTTGAAGAACAAACCAGTCTTCTATTTCAGAATTTTTTCCCCTTCCTATTAGGATTCATCTACTGTGTTCTCGAACAGAGTGTTAAAATATCATAGCTGGGCACCACCTAGCTCTTCTGGTTTCAAGGTGGAAGAGGCAGTATGTTCATGCAGACAATCGTGTCCAGTTTTCTCCCTGTTTTTCTTTTGTTCCAAATAAGAAATGCTCAACAGCTGCAACTTAAGACGGTCACTTGTAAGCTCTTAAGATGCCCTGACACTACTCATCATACTGGGAAGGGGAAGACAAACATTGTATTTTGCCTACAGATACAAGGATATAACCTAATTCTTTTAATATAGATAACACTCAAAATTCAAACCCACTGCCAATGAGTCAGGACGAATGTTTTGCTTCACAACATGGTGAGTAACTGTGAAAACTCAAACTCAGAACCACTGAGTTGCAACCAAGTCAGAGCTGACCCTCCACCACCTTTTTTTCCAGAGCCTGTAAATCACGTAAGAGGAGATTGCCCACCTTACACCTAGGAGCAGCTGGAGGATTTGAACCACTTGCCTTTGGGTTAAGGAGTTCTGGAGGTCTGGTGGGTAAGGAGTTGCACTGCCAACTCAAAGAGGTGCTTTGAATCTCTATAGGGGAAAGGCTCCTGAAAATCCTCTGGAAGGTCAGCTATGAGTCAGTTCTGACTCAATGGCACACAACATAAACAGCCTGTGGTTTGGCACAGCAAGTCTCTATTCACCAGCCACCAGAGCTCCCTGAGGAGTGTGAGGAGCTCTTTAAAACTTACTGCCAAACATCTACAATACAACCTCTGGTCTCTTACTTGTCTGAACAAGGAAGAAAGAAAGATAAAACCAAAGATTTAAGAGATGAACATAGTACACAGGACTAATATTCCACATAAACCATGACTTCAACTACTCAGAGACCAGAAGAACTAGTGGTGGCCAGCTACCACCACCACCAATTCTGACCATGGCCACAATGGGTGAGTCTTGATAAAATGAAGAGAAAAATGTGGAACAAAATTAAAATTTTTAAAAGGTGTTTACCTCTTAGACTGATTGAGACACAGAACTTCCTGAGATTATCACTGTGAAACAGTCTTTAACGCAGAAACCAAAAGAATCCCTAGAGGCCACATTTTTAAACCAAGCCAACGAATAGGTCATAAACATTTTCACCTGTGAGTAATGTTGTCCTTTAAGAAAGCATCTGTATGAGACCAAAAATTACTTGAATGCCTTTGCAGAAGTTAAAAGGGGCAGGGAAGCTAGAATACGGAAAACAGTTCAACTAGAGGGGAATATATGGGAACAAAGACACATTGTGAAAATTTAACCAACACCACAGGATCATTTGTGCAGAAACTGTTAAATTGGAAGCTAATTACTTTCACCTTAAACAAATTATTAAAAAACTAATAAAATTATGCCAGTTGACTTGTTCCCCTACACTATAATATTAAATCTCAACATGAAGACAGAATATAGTCTTATTCATATATGGAAGTTCAATGAATAACACTTTGAGCACCTTGTTGATTTTGTTATGTGACGTCACTTGCCACTCATAGCAACCCTCTGTTACAATGGCGCTGAACACTGCTCTATCCTGAGTCAACCTTATTGTCTGAGTCAATTCATCTCAATGAAGGTCTTCCTCTCTTGCATTGTCCCTCCACAGTCTAGAGCATGACATCTTTTTCCAAGGACTGGTTCCTCCTTACAACATGTCCAAAGTATGTCAGACGAAGCTTTAGAATGTTGCTTCCAAGGAGCAGCCTGTTTTCAACCTCTCCAGGACAAATCTGTTTCTTCTCCTACTTGTCCACGGTATAGTCAATACTATTCTCCAGCACCACAGTTCAAAGGCATAAATTCTCTATCATCCCTAGTTATTGTCCAGCTTTCTGATACACAGCAAGTAACTATGAAGATCATGGCCTGGACCAGGTACACCACAGTCACCAGACTGACATCACTGCTCTTTAGTACTCTGGACAAGTCCCTGACAGCAGACTTTCTCAATGCAATTCATCTTTTGATATCTTGGCTGCTGATACCAAGAGTGCCGATTGTGACGCCAAACAAACCAAAGCTATTAAAAATTTCAATCTCTTCACAGTCTATCATGATGCTGCCAATCAGCCCATTGGTAAGAATCTTTGTTTTCTTAGGGTGAGCTTCAATCTGTATTTAAGGCTGTACTCCTTGGTCTTCTTCATCCTCCTCAGTTCCAGCAAGGTTGTGTCACCTGCATAATGCAGGTTGTTGATGAGTCTTCCTCCAATCCTGATGACACATTCCTCCACATAGAGTCCAGCCTCCTGGATGATCTGTTCTGCATAAAGACTGAAAAGGTATGGAGAGACAGGATGGCATCCTTGGCATACACTCTTTCTGATTTTGAACCATGCAGTGTCTCCTTGCTCTGTTCTGACCACTGCCTCCCGGTCCAAGTACAAGTTTCACATAAGCACAATGAAGTGTTCTGGAATTCCCATTCTTTTCATAGACAGCCACAGTTTGTTGTGTTCCACATATTTTGAACATTTCTTCATGTGCCTGTTGGCCATCTGAATGTCCTCTTTGGTGAAGTGTGTGTTCCACATATTATGCATAGTCAATGAAATACAGACATTTCTCTGGTACTGCTTTCAGCCAAGATCCATCTAACATTAGCTATAATATATATTATATTACATATAATAATACATAATATTATAATACTAGGCTTCTTCGAAACCTAGCCTGCGCATCTAGCAGTTCTCTCACTGATGTACCACTTCAGCCATTTTTGGATAATGTTAAGCAGAATATTGCTTGCATGTGATATTAATGATATTGTTTGATAATTTCCGTACTCTGTTGGGTCACCTTTCTTTGGAATAGGAACAAATATAGATCTCTTCCAGTCCAGGTAGTTGTCTTCCTGATTTCTTGGTACAACTTAGTGACCACAACCAGGGTAGCACCTGTTTGTTGAAATATGTTAATTGGTATGTCATCAATTCCTGGAGTCTTGTTTTTTGCCAATTCTTTCAGAGCAGCTTGAACTCTTTATCACCACAGGCTCTTTCTCATACGTTGTTTCATGAAATTCTTCTGTGTCAACCAATTCCTTTATTATGAACTAAATTAATTTAAAACACAAAGCTTCCTATTTCTGGTCCATTAAAAAGGCCCAAGAATGGAACTGAAAATTAGTATTAATAGGCCCATGGAGTGCCCATTCTCAGGACTCTTTACAAAGCAGTGATTTCAGGTCTGAGGCAAGTCAAGAAGGAGAGCCTAAAAGAAAATTCTGTATAATGTCTATACACATTTGACAGTATAGAATCAGTGATTTTTAGTAAAATTTTCCTTTTTAATAGGATTATGACCCTTTTGTATCTCATACCTTAGCACTATTTATAATAGTGCCAATTGAAAAAAAAAAACCAAAAAACAAACCAAACTTCTGAAAAATAATAGCATGCCAGGATGAAACACTGTGCAAAAACTGAAGGTTATTCGTTTACTCTAGATACCTGTGATCCCTAACAAAAAGAATGAGGAGCAAAGAGAAATTTTCAGACTCCCAATACACCATAAACAGCCCACAAACTCAATGGTGGTGAAATTTTTTTACATGTCTTATTTATGAATTTGAAAAACAAAGAGGTAAGCTTTTATTTCTTTTCTACTGTAAAACTAGCCCAACTACTTTAACAGAATTTATGAGAATGAAACTATTTCTTCTTTTATGCCACATTCACCATCAACTCATGGCTACACTTTTTTTACATCAAAGAAAATAACACTGTCGCTGAATTAATTACAACTCACATCAACCCTATGGGACACAGGCAAAGTGCCCTACTGGTTGTGGTCTATGATTCATTCTCCACAGAGTGACTAGGTTTATTCTCAGCAAAGTGCTCCACTAGTGGCTCCAGCATGGATCTCCGTTTTCTTGCATTTACTTTTGGAAATGCTGCTATTCTGGTAATAGCAGAAAAATAAAAATTTCAGATTCCATGGAGAATTTGAGTAGACTTTTATGCAAGGAAGAAAAAAAAATCATAATTACCTTCAGAAAATCATGCAAATGTTTCAGAACACCTATCCTAACTTCATCAAGGTCTTTTAAAAATCCATTAAAAATTGGAACCAGATCTGCAGCTGTCAGCTGATCTCCAAGAATAACTGCAAGCTCATGGATGGAGAACGCTAATGTTCTTCGAACTTTCCACTGGAGAAAGAAAAACAATTTATTATTAACCAAAGCACAAAGATCACTGTAACTTTTAGGTGTTATAAGCAATGCAAGTCTATAGTTGAATGCTAATAATCTAAAAATGTAAATAAGAACTGAATAGTACTAATATTAGACACTACATTTTGATTGTCTACAATTTTATCAAAAACTGACAACAGAAAATGGTCACAGACACACATATAATTTATCATTTCCCTTTTACTGATGAAGGAATCAAACCCACTTAAAATAACCAGCAGCTTTTATAGTTCTCTAAATAATTATATCACCAGCTTGCAGGTGTTCCAAGCATACAATGTCTAGCTGGAATCACCTTGCTTTCCTGTTCCCATACAGTTCACCTTGCATTCAACAGCAAACTTATTTAAAAGGAACTGGCAACTGAAGAAATATAATTAATACAATCTTTTTCTTAGAGCCCTAGAATAAAACACCTAAAAACAGGTATCTATTGTATCTAATTACCTTCAATTTAAAAGCACCTTTTTCTTCACATTGCTTGAACTGAAAAATGTTTAACCTGTTAATGAGGCTAAAACTTTACTAAGAATTTAGAGCAAAAGATTTATTTTCTGGTAATATTAGAATCCAACACTGAGATAAAACACACTGTCAATAAAAGAGAAGTTCTAAAGGAGGGGAAAAGGCAGAGAAAGGGTAGAGCCTTCTTCATGACCCTAGCAGCTCCCTGAGAAATGTTAAGAGTGAGAACCATAAACGGACAGGGAAGAACACTCCATGCAAATGGTCCTTGTGGTTTTTATCTCCAACTGTACCACTAACAGGGTGTTCTGGTGGTCTAGCGGTAAGAAGCTATATTGCAATCCTTAATACATGCGGTTTAAATCCACCAGCTGCTCTGTGAAAGAAAGACTGGCACTCTTCCCGTGCAATTAATTGCCACTGAAAGCCTGTAGAAGGGTCACTTATGGATTGGTTCTAACTTGATATTACACAACAATAACAACCACTAACAACTCAAATGAACTAATTTCACCTGGGCCCAGCTACCTAATTAATATCTCACGTGTCAGAGGAGGAACTTAAATGATATTTTTGAAAATTAATGTGTGAGTGAACGTTAATACAAATGGGTTTTCCATTCATACTCAATTCTGTTTTACAGCATTAATTATAACACCCTTTATGTAACCACATTTTCCTCCTTCCTTCTGGTGATACTAGTTTCCAGCAATCCTACTCCTGTGTTCTGGGTAAAAGCTGGCTTCTTGACATTCTATGACTATCTAGTCCACTGAATGAGGAACTCTCTAGTGTTACTTTATCTCAAATCCCACTGTCATAATGTCCATTCCAAGGCTACTGACCAGAGCAAAGTCCTTGAGAGAAGACTGTTGTGAAGTTGCCAGTGGATTAAAACTGCTGACCTTTTGGTTAGCAGCTGGCTACCTCACATGCTGGAGATCTGGTTAGTGGCAAGATGCTGAGCTGCAACTTAGATACATGGTTTGAAACCACCAGGTGCTCTGTGGGAGAAGGATGGATACTCTCCTCCTGTGCAACTGGTTAACTGCCTTTGAAAACCCACCGGAGGGTCAGAAGCTGTGGGCTGATTCTGATTTGACAATACTCAACCACCACCACCTCCTCACATGCCACCAACACACTCCTTGTTCACCTCATAGATTTACTTATTATTTGGTTGAAAGAAGAGCAAGGGGAGTGTGTTTTGTTCTGGCTTTGAAGGGTGATTAAGGGCCATAGTTTTACAGGTTCACAGTTTCTACCAGACTAGTACACATACTCTTTTTTCTTGTTTAGGGGTTTTGGTTCACATTTCCCAAGCTCTATCCAGAATCCTCTGTGATCCCTTGTAGAGTAGTCAGCAGCCATAGCTGAACATTCTGGATACCATTTGATTTATACCAATGAAGAAAAGACTGAAATAGTTAACAATTTCAGCTTGCTCTGTTCCAAAATTAATAATCTTTGCACCAGCAGCCAGGAAAACAAAAGACGAATTGCATTAGGTAAATCTGCTGTCAGGAACCTCTCCAGAGTGCTAAAGAGCAACGATGTCAGTCTAGAGATTACAGTGTGACTGATCCAGGCCATGGTCTTCGCAGTTTCTTGTTATGCATCAAAGAAAGACCTGGGCAATGACTATGGATAACAGAAGAATGGATGCCTTTGAGTTGTGGTGCTGGAAAAGAGTACTGAACAAAACATGGACTGCCATGATCTGTCCTGGAAAGGGTGAAACCTAGTTGCTCCTTGGAGACAAAGATTCTGAAGTTCCATCTGACATACTTTGGGCATGTAGCCAGGAAGGACCAGTTCTTGGAGAAGGATATCATACTCAGAAGGGCAGAGGGACAGTGCAGGAGAGGAAGATCCTGCACGAGATGGACTGATACAGTAACTGGAATAGGGGCAGATGTGCTGGAGGCAATGAGACTGGCTCGGGAAAGGACAGGCTTTGCTGTACATAGGGTTGCTATGAGTTGCAGGTGACTTGATGACACTTAACAATAACATTTATGCTTCTGACAGAACGCCCTCAATTATAGGAAAGTAGTAAGCTAATTGTCCTTCCCAGACCTGAGGCAAAAATATCAAACAGGGACACTCAAGACTTTCCCAGACAGTGACTTTTCCTCCATACCAAGGGGATAAAATACCTGCCAACTTCAAGGGAGATGGATGGGTAATCTCCTTCCATGTGACTTACTGCCTCTAAAAACCCACTGGAGGGTCAGCTATGGGTTGGTTCTGAATTGAAGGTTCACAACAACAAATAGCTAATGAGCTCAGGTGGCCAAATAAGATTGTTATATTGCCAATCCAAAGACAGCAGTTTAAACCAACTGCTCTGCAGAAGAAAGCTGGGCAATCTCCTCCCATTACACCCTCTGAAAACTCTGGAAAGTCAGTTTTGAGTCCGTTCCAACTCAGTAATGAGAGGGGGAAAGCGGGGAGGGTGAGGAAGAAAGGAAGAAAGAGTGGGAGAGAGAGAATAGCTATTGGGAACTCAGGCGGCACAGGCCCCAAGGACTATCAAGATGTTGCCTACTGGCCCAATGGTGAGGATTTTTGTTTTCTTGATGTTCAGATATAATCCACTTAAGTACTCTTCACTTTCAGCAAGAAAGGTTGTGCTACCTGTAAAATGCAGGTTGTTGATGTTTTCCTCCAATTTTGATGCCATGTGCTTCTTTACAGGGCCCAGATTCTTGAATGATTTGTTCAGCATACAGATTGAAGAGGTATGGAAAAAAGGATAAAACCCTGATGCACATCTTTTGATTTAAAACCAGGTTCCCTTGTTCTGTTCAGACAACTGTGTCTTGGTCAATAAATAGGTTTCAAATAAGCACAATTAAGTGTTCTGGGATTCCCAATCTTCTCTATGTTAGCCATAGTTTGTGACCCACAGTCAAAATGGTTTGCATACTTAATAAAACATAAACATCTTTCTGATATTCTCTTTCAGCCAAGATTCATCTTATGTAGGTCATGATATCCCTTGTGCTATGGCCTCTTCTGAATCCATTTTGGCAGTTTCCTGCTGAAGTAGTTCCACTTGTTTTAAATAATCTTCAGCAAGATTTTACATGCATGTGAGTTAATGTAATTATCTGATTAATGCTATTGCATCACTTTTTTTTGGAATTGGAGCAAATATTGGTCTCTTCTAGTATGATACTAAGTTTTGCAAATTTCTCAGCATAGACTATTTGGTATTCCATCAAGTTCTCGGCCTCATTTTTTGCCAATGCTTCAGTGCAGTTTGAATGTCTTCCCACATTACTACTGATTCTTGATCATAGGCTACTTTCTGAAATGGCCCAATGTTGACCAAATCTTTTTGGTACAATGATCTCACGTATTCTTTCCATCTTATTTTGATGCCTTCTGCATCATTCAAGATTTTGCCCATAGAATCCTTCAGTGTAGCAATGTGAAGCTTACATTTGTTCAATTCTTTCAGCTTGAGAAATGCCTTTTGGTTTTCTAACTCTAGCTCTTTACATTTTGTTATATTTTTTTCTTAACTTTGCCTTCTCAAGCTGCCTTTTGAAATATGTTCTCCCTTACTTCAGGATCTTTTCTCATTGTTCTGGTCTCTCGATGCACTAGTGCAATTTGCAGAATCTCTTCTGACATCCATTTTGGTCTTTTATTTCTCCCTTTTGGCTTTCTTCATGGAACAAACATTCCACACTGTCTGGTCTTTGGTCATTAATGTTGAATGTATCAAATTTATTCTTGAAATAGTTTTAAAATTCAGGTAGGATAAATTCAAGATCTTATTTTAGTTCTCATGAACTTGTTTTGAACTTGCACATGAATAAGTGATTGTTTCATGGTCAGATCATGGCTTTGTTTTGACAGCTGATACTGAATTTAGTCAATGACTCTTCTCAACAGATGTAGTCATTCTGATCCAATATGTCCAGTGAGGTCTATGTGTATAATGGACATTTAGGTCTCATCTTTATTACTAGCCAGAGCCATCAAGTGGACTGAGACAGCAAGCCCATGAACCACAGATCTGAACCTCACCCTATCCTGTGCCATCCTCACAATGTCTATAGGCTCAAGCTCTTGTGTTGGTCACTGCATCAATCGATTTCATTGCGGATCTTTCTTTGTTACTGATCCTCTAACTTTTCCAGCATAATGTCTCTCTCCGAGGACTGGTTCCTCCTGAAAATATACCCAATGTAAGTGAGATGACGTTTCACCCTCATGGACTCTAAGGAGCGGCACTTCCTTTATGACAGATTTGTTTCGTTCTTTAGGAGGTCCCAATAATGTAGTTAACCCTCTGTTAAATGTATTTTTCAGTTATATTTGATAGTAATCTATTCATGCCATTTATTTGGGCTCCTAAATTTGCCCAGTTCTTTGTTGATCTTTATAGCTTTAGGTTTTATGTCTAGTTTCTTTGATGCAAGTAGAGTTAAGCTTTTGTATGTATTATGAGCTCTGTGTCTTGTTTCCATTTCCTAGAAATAGATAGCCAGTTTTCCAGTATCATTTATTAAGAAGGCTGTCTTTTCCCATTTAGGAAAAATAGGAGGATGGATTTCTCAATGGGTTTTTAATGTTCCTAACCTTCCTGCCTTTTGAACTTAATACATGGTTAAATGCTGTCCATATAATTTCAAATATACTTTCTTAGTATTACTGTTCACCTTACAGACCTGTCTAGTGTTTGGTTAAAAATGGAGCTATGTGAATTCTGTTTTAGAATGGAAGTGCGAAGTCATCATTTCAGGGGTTCCAGTGGTCTATGCCTGACCAGTAAGCCTGTTCTTTTTTATGATTTTGAGTTCTGTTTCACATTTCCTCCCATTCTACCCAGGACCTTCTAATGTAATCCGTTTATAGGCAGCTGAGAGCAGTAGCTGGGCACTATTTAGATCTTCCGGCTACCAGGTCATGGAGGCTGAGGTTCATATGCTCCATTAATCATATGGTTAATGAAAAATTAAAAAGAAATGTGATAATTTTCTTTAACACCTAGTCTATGCTATAGCATAAACTCAAACTACAGCAAGTTTGGAAGGAAACATTTTGTCTCATATACGCATATACTTCCTAATTCTTTAACTGCTTTACTCACCTGCATGTCTGAAGCTAGGGTCTCATAAGTCTCTCTCAGGCAGTGCCAATTCTGTCTGCCCAGTGTAAGCGCGACACCAGGAAGGCTATACGCACAGTGCTTAGCAATCTCAGTGTCAACTGTCTGTGCACGAGAGGGATCAGTCATAGATAAATACTGATCCAGTAAAGCCTGAGGTACAACATCCTAATGAAGAAGGAAACAATAATCAATTTTCAGCAGTTCACATTTAAGTTAGGTAAAATAATTTGCAATTACTGGAATTTTAAAACCGACTCTCAAATACTAGGCAAAAACCAACCTCAAATATTTTGGTATCTAATAATGAAGGAGCCCTAGAGGCATAAAATCATGCACTGAGCTGCTAACCAAAAGGGTGGCAGTTCAAATCTACCAGATTTTCCTCAGGAGAAAGAGTAAACAGTCTACTCTGTTAACAGGTCCATGAATTCTGACTCAATGGCAGTGTAGTTTTGGGTTAATAACTGGGAAAAAATGTGCTAAAGAAAATATCCACGTAAATATATAAAAGTAATTAGAAATAAATTACAAATAACAAGATTTTAAATCCGGAAACAACCAAAATTTAAAGAACAGAATTAATTATCAAATATTAAAGATATGTTAAAAATAAGAGAAGTCAACTATGAGAAAACAACTATGAGATATCATCTCATCCCAGTAAGAACAGCAAAATTTAACAGAACAGCAAGCAACAAATGCTGGCGAGGTTGTGGAGAAACTGGAACCCTAATTCACTGTTGGTGGAAGTGTAAAATGCTGCAACCACTGTTCAAGGAGGTATGGAACTTTCTCAAAAAGTTGCAAATAGAGATACCATTTGACCCAGCAATTCCACTACTGGGAATATACCCCAAAGAGACCATAGCTGCCATCCAAGCAGATACATGCACAC